TTTTCCAGCTGTGGGTTTTCCTCCCCACAGCCGGAAGAATTTTTGTGTTCTTCACTGGTTCCCCCAGCTGGAAACCAGTGCCTCTGGTTTCCGCATCGCAAACCAGTTCTCTGGTTTCCGATGCGGAAATCAGTGACTCTGGTTTTCGCATCGGAAACTAGATCTGATTTCTGATGCGGAAACCAGAGGCACTGGTTTCCCCAGCCGGAAACCAGAAGTGGTTTCCGACTAGGGAAACCAGTGAAAAACTTGTATATTGTACTGCTTATAATTGGTGCTTATTTTACTGCTTATAATGCATTTGGTTGCTGCTTATAATACACTGGTTGCTGTTTATAATACACTGCTTATTCGGCTGGGGAAACCAGTGAAGAAGCCATAACATGCTTGAGTTTTTGTGGATTGTTTATTGATGATTTTGCTTGGTTGCTGTGTATTTTGATTACTGATTATATAATAAAATGCTTTGCTTATTTTGTGGTTATGTGTTAGTTTTAATTGTAGTTATTTGTTGTCATATCATTTTATTTTTTTGTTTGTATAGATGGATAGAAATCATGTGCGTGCAACTGTTATGGGTGCAGCAAGTGCTATATTAGCTATTTGAGTTCTTCTATTGCAACAAATTAGGAATAGAAACCAAATAGAACATGACATCCTCAATAGAGATGATGAGCGAGAGAGTTACATAAATAATATCTTGTGTGAGGGTGATAACAAATGCATTAGCGTTATTAGAATGTGACTTATTTCCTTTTATAAATTGTGTGACCTTTTTGCTACTAAGAACTTATTACGCACAATTAGAGTCGTAAGTATTAAGGAACAAGTGTTAATATCTTTACATATAATAGGTCATAATGTACGCTTTCGAGTAATTGGGTCAAGGTATTATAGGTCAATTGAGACAGTTCATCGTTACTTTAGAAGTGTTTTGAGAGTCATTTTATCTTTGTATACGAACCTCATAGTATTACCGGATGGTGAAGTAACTCCTCAAGAAATCGTTAGCAATCCGCGATTTTATCCATATTTCAAAAATTGCTTAGGAGCAATAGATGGAACCCATATTCGTGCATCCGTGCCAATTAATATGCAAGGAAGCTTTCGTGGACGTAAGGGTGGAACAACACAAAATGTATTTGCTGCTCACTTTTGATTGTGATTTTGTTATGTGCTAGCTGGGTAGGAAGGTAGTGCACATGATTCTCAAGTCTTGAACGATGGATGCACTCACACGTCCAAATAAATTTAAAATTCCAGAAGGTATAAAATAAAATTATGTAATCACTTTTTACATTGTGTTGTTTGTTATTGCATATAAGTAATCAAATTATGTAAACTTGTAGGGAAATATTATCTTGATGATACTGGATATGACATATGGAATGGAATACTTACTCCATACCGTGGTGTTAGATACCATTTGAAAGAGTTTAGTGCTCATCGTCCAGAGAATAAGAAACAACTTTTCAATCTTCGACATTCGTCCTTACGTACATCTATTGAGAGAGTGTTTGAAATTTTGAAGAAGCGGATCCGTGTGTTAGATGCTGAACCTTTTTGAGATTATCAGACACAAGTGGATATAGTTTTAGCTTGTTGTATAATTCATAACCATATTATGGGAGTTGATCCTAATGATGAGTTGAATCAAGCAACAGTTGATGTTGATGACGATAACTTGTTGCCCTTAACTCATACCCAAACAGAAGAAAGACAAGAAGATAGACAATGGAATGCAAAAAGCGATGAGATGGCAGAACAAATGTGGAATGACTTTATTATTAGGAATTAGTGTCTAGTTTCTTATTGTTATGTATTTGAGTATGCTTTGTTAATGAATATTATTAGTTGTTGAACATTTCTTATTGTTGTGTACTTGATTATACTTTGTTATTGGATATTATTAGTTGTACTTGAGTACGCTTTGTAATGGATATTATGTTTCATTGGTTGTTATTGTTTTTATGTTATTATAGCAACATGAATAAGGGAAAGAGAATTGCCACTTCTAAACAATTTCGGTGAACAAAGTCAATGAAGGGCGTATTTTTAAAGATATTAACTGAAGAGGCTATGAATCTCAATAATCCAACTAACAGTTTTAGAGCCTCTTCATTCAATCGTGTTGCAGTTGCAATATCTGAATAATTTAATGTTGCATGTGAACTCAAACAAGTTGAGAATCACTTGAAAACAGTGAAGAACACATGGATGATGATTTGCAAGCTGAAGAACATGTGTGGTCTTGGATGGGATGATAACTTAAAAATGGTCCAATGTGATGAAGGCCCGTATATGGAGCTTATCACGATAATATTTTAGTACCATAATTTGACTATTGCATAAATCTAATGCTTTTTTTTAATTAGAAAAGATCTCATGTTTTTTTTTTATTCATAGGCAACTCCCAAGTATGAAACATTGTTGAACAGGAAGATTGATTTCTATGATGAGATGTCCATTGTCGTTGGCAGAGATTGTGCCATAGGACGCTTTGCAAAATCTTTTACAGATGTTAATTTAGATGGTTCTCATGATGAGATGTTGCCTGATAACAATTATGAAACCCTGCCTGATAACAATGATGAAGAAAGTAGGGGAAGAACATCTTCATCAACTACGTCGTCTCAAAGATCTGGTCGTAAGCAAAAGTCACTTGACTTGAAGGTGGTTGAAATTGCTGAACAGCTCGGTAGCATTGCCATGACAATTAAATCTTTGAATACCGGTATTGATGAAAATCAGTTGTTTGCGGATTTGACGAGCATAGGTGATGGCTTTCATGAGGATGACCTATGTAAGGTATTTGAATACTTGATGACAAATGAGGTTCAGGCGCAAATTTTCAAGGGGAAGAATGCAAGTTTGAAGAGGAAATGAATTGAGAAATTTATTTCTTCTTCGGATTAAATTATGTATGCCTTTTTTGTTGGTTAACCATGCATGTTAAGACTTGGATTGTAATCTTTAAGACTTATTTTTATGTATGTTTTGTAGTTGGTTGGTTATGTTGGATCTTAGTACTTGGTATATTGGATCCTAAGACTTTGTGAATTTTAATTTTCAAGACTTGATTATGTATGCATTTATGTTGTTTCTAACATGTAATTGTGATTTCAAATTGTCATATTGTGTTGCATTAGAATTTAGTACTAGAAAGATAGATTGAGAGCAAAGGCATTGGAATTAAATACAATCAAAATTTATGTTGCATAGAATTTGTAATAAAAATTGTTATATTCTACAAACAACAATAAAAATATATTTTTCGGTATAAAATAATTAAAATGTTTAAGTATACTATTCTGTTCATTTTCTAGAAAAATGAACCAAACACCAAAAGACAGTTTTTCATCATTTTCTGGAAAATGAACCAAACACCAAAAGACAGTTTTCTATTGTTCAGCCAAACACAAGAAAGGAAAATGACTTCTGGAAAATGACTCATTTTCCAGAAGTCATTTTCCTGCTTTCCAAACGGACCCTTAGGGTAGAAAACTTCTCTTATGTGTCTTACTAATAGAATGATAGTTGTTTCCTACTTGACAAACTCTTTACTCTCGACTGACATGTACCGGTTCTTCTACTTGATTGGCTTCAAATAGGGCAGGATGGATTGTTGGTGGCAAATGATCGATGGATCCGGCCACCTTGAGCATACCTTTCGAACCCCATGCAAATATCACCCAGTATGCAATCAACATGTCCATAATATATTTGTTGTAACAGATCTAGTTAAAGGCTTGTTCTGATCTTGATTATTACCTGATCAAGTTGATCGAGTCCAAAACAATATTTTTGACTTTTGCCACTGGTCTCGGGCACTCGTTGTTATCCCCCTTATCAACCTACTTGGAGATGGTATGAAAATGAGTGTTTTGGTTGACATGTTTCTATACCACCTAGACGTAGTAATGTTGAGCAGAGCGTTGATCTCCCCGACCAATCTCAATTCTATTTGGAAATCAATGAAACGCGCAATGCAAACTCAATCAACGTAGCCAAAGTTGACCATTTGGTGAACTGTGCTCGTGTGCCTTATCTTTTAAATTATAAATGGAGACTTAACATAACATTTATGTATGTAATAAGAAGCTAGTCAATATATTTTACCAAAATTTTAACATCTTCTATAATTATAAAAATCATAGAAACTACCGGAGTCCGGAGGCCAGGTAATGAAGATCACCATTAATTTTGTGCCGTAATGTCAAATGACTCAAATCTAATTTTAGAAAAATAACAATTTTAATCTTTTAATTATGATTATTGCATGTATTTAATCTATTAATTTTCACGATGTAAATTCAGTCATCAAATTACATTGAATTATTGAAACCTTAGCATTAAAAATATGCCATTTTCTTAAACGGAGATTATTAAATTTATATTGTAAATAATCATGATACTAAGGAGTGTTTGACAAATAGCTTATAGTCAATTAGGTTAGCTGGTTTGACTAGCTAATTGTAAAAAAGTGTTTGGTAATTAATTAAATTAGATGTTTACTTTTAGTTAATTGGATGTAAAATAACTTATACCTGTGACCTCCCATTTGAGAGAGAGCCACATAGGTGCCATTAAGCTACAAGCTACTAAAACATTATTATTGTTATTATGGAAACAGAAAGGAAAAAGGACAAGGCAAATGAACAGCAACAAAAGAGATAAATGTTACGAAGAATAAGGGTAAAATAGTCATTTCATAATTAAGATCAGGTTACCAAAACCTCTATTCTTCTTAATTTTTCAAATTTTAACATATTGCTTCAATCAACTAATACAATAACTTCAAAAGCTTAAATAACCTATTGAATAGTCAAACCAGCCAAAATTAGTCAAACCAGCCAAAGTTACTCCCTACTTCATTTCCCATCTAAATTTTAAACACGTGGAGAAGAAATTATTACTCCGTACTTCGTATGTGACAAGGCTTTCACTAATATATAAGCAAATTATAAATAAGTAGTCAGACAAAAGCAGCGGCAGAATAATTCTCCAATAAGAAAATTCCCAGTTTTCCCATTTTGACCAACTATGTGTATAGTCTATAGTCTATACCTAACAACGCCGTGCCGGCCCTCAAGTAGTCATGCCAAACACCAAACCCTTTATAACACCCGTATACCCTGAAACCCGTATCTATTCTCATTCATCTCTGTATATATATACAAAAAAAAAAAAAAAAAAAGAAAAGAAAACCCACTTTTCTCTCCATTATGTACTGAAAACACGGTTGATGATTCCATCCACCATCTCCAGCATCATAATTCTTCCATTGACAATGATTCTACCTGTTCACTGAGAAATTAAAGCAATAATTTCATTCGTGTTTCTTTTCTTTCTTTTCTTTTCCTTTCCGTTTTTAACGAGTTAATCATATCATGTTTCTTGTAATATTGTTGGTAATCATTGTTGCGTTTTGCGTTCTACGCTTTGCGTCAAAATCTTCTCTACTGTTCGTTGTGAAGAAATGGGTGCGGGTTTTGGGAGACAAGTGCTATGAGTTCCAGTTCTACAGGGTGCCACAGTTCAACCAGAATATGCAGGAAAATCAATTGTATCGGAAAGTGTTTACTTACCTGAATTCCTTGCCCGGCGTTGAGGATTCCGATTTCACGAACCTGTTTGCAGGCAACAAGTCGAACGAGATCAAAATCGTTCTCGATTCGAGGCAGGTTGTAGCCGATAATTTTTTGGGCGCCAGAGTTAATTGGACGAGCGAGGAGGATGAGAAGACTGGTTTGAAGTGCCTGGTTATGAAAATTCGGAAGAACGATAAGCGCCGGATTCTCCGTTCCTACCTTCAGCATATTCTATCTACCTTCGATGAAATCGAGCAGCGGAAGAAGGAAGTGAGGCTTTATGTGAACGTTGAGAAGAATCCGGAGAGCAGCGGGCGGTGGAGATCGGTGCCGCTCACGCATCCGGCGACGATTGATACGGTAGTGATGGATTCAGATCTGAAGAACAAGGTGAAATCCGATTTAGAATCGTTTCTCAAATCCAAACAGTACTACCACCGTCTCGGCCGTCTCTGGAAGCGGAGTTACCTTCTCTACGGCCCCTCCGGTACAGGAAAATCCACCTTCATCGCCGCGATGGCGAAGCTTCTCAGCTACGATGTTTACGATATAGACTTGTCCAGAGTCTCCGACGATTCCGATCTCAAGATGCTGCTATTGCAAACGACGAGCAAGTCTCTGATCGTGATCGAAGATCTAGACCGTTATTTGGCCGCCGGAAAATCAACCGGTCCGACCTTGCCGGGGATTCTCAACTTCATGGACGGAATATTCTCCTGCTGCGGCGAGGAGCGGGCCATGGTATTCACGATGAACAGCAAGGATCAAATTGATCCAACGGTTCTGAGGCCAGGAAGAGTCGACGTCCACATACACTTCCCTTTGTGCGATTTCAACGCTTTTAAGAGCTTGGCCAACAGCCATCTAGGCCTAAAAGATCATAAGCTTTTCCCTCAAGTTGAAGAGATATTCCAAACCGGGGCGAGTTTGAGCCCGGCCGAGATCGGGGAAATCATGATCTCGAACCGGAGCTCCCCAAGCCGGGCCTTGAAATCGGTTATCTCCGCTCTACAGACCAACAGTGAAGACCGGGCCGCCACTAGGCACGCTCGGCGGTTGAGTCACAGCGGGTCGGCTCGAACCACGGAGGAGCCGAGCGAACCGGGCATTTTCGGAAAAGATGGCGTTAAAGAGATTCGAAAATTATATGGACTATTGAGGCTAAGGAGCACTAGGAAAGAGTCCTTTGAATTTGATGCACCGGAGAAGGAAAATTCTAGACACGAAAGTTGACAATATGGGACAGTTGTTTGAGCGTGTGTTACACATTTGGGGCTCTATAATCATTTGTTGATTTATTTTTATAAGTTGTGTAGAATAATCATGTAAGTAAAGTGGCCTGGTTACATGTCTTTATGGAACATATTTATTATTTGATTCATTGTTTAGAAATTATTTGGTAATTAGTTAGGGATATGTAGTGAATTGAGAGCTGAATTAAGTTGCAATTTGCAAAGGGAACTTGGTGGAAATTATGAAAATGTAACTTTGGCATATATTCACGTACCCATTTATTAGCAATATTTCATTTTCAATTATAATCTTTTCATGATTTTTGTTTTCAAACTTCACCTCTGACCGCTGTCAATGTAACATTTATCAGCAATATTTCATTTTCAAAGCAGACAATCTTTTCATGATCTAATTAATGAGCTAGATAATTCAATAAAATCAGGTTATTTTCGCATTCATATTCTCTACTAAACTTCCCTCCTCTCTTCCTTCATGCCATTCTACACTTCAACCTGGGATTTTAGCTCAAACATGAACTATTCAGCTTTGCAATGAATTTATGATGAGTACTTTCGAATTAATCAAAATTCACAAAATAATTGACTCAATTATATTGGGCTAAACAATGGATATGGAAAATATAATGGATTATGCATATAGTATGAGTAGATTATATATTTTTTAGTAAAATTATATTTTGAAACTTAAAATTGGTCCTCGAGCTAAAATTAATTTGATTAATCAATTAACTAAATTAATTTCAATTCACTCAACTTTTTTTCATAATATTAAATTTAGTATATAAAATTTATATATTTAGAAACTAAATTAAAAGTAATATTAAACACACACACACACAAAATTAAATTTCAAAATAATTAAAAATTACTAAAGAAAATAAACAAAAAATAAAGAGTTGATTTGATTACTGAATAGTAAATATGACAGATAAAATGTAACAAATAGATTAATAAATTTAAGTGATGATTGATCAATTGATGTTATTTTAATGAATTTGGCCTTATTTGTCAATTAGCAATTCATAGTAGGGATTAGCAAATAGCTAATTGTATTAGCAATTTTGCGCATTAAATTATATTAACAGTTTGTAAAAATATTTTTGGTCAAATTAATTATTTGATATTAGTGGTTAATGTATAAAATATATATATAAGAACATTGCTACAATAACAACAACAATAATAAAATTAAACAAATATAAACAACACAAAGGGGAGCCTGCGCACAGGTGAGACTATGTGAAGATAACTTGAGAAAGTTTGAGTGCAATTTTGTAATAGACCAGAACTTACCAAACTGAGATATATTAATTTCTTTTTATAATAACTTTAAATTTGTTAATTATTTTATGTGATTCCTTTCGGCTTTATCAATCACTATTTGTTGTTAAGTAACCTCTTCCAATCAATTTGCATAATTTGACACTTTATTTTTCCTTAACTACCATCCACCAATATTATTTTAGTCAACTAAAATATTAACTATGGCAAATTAGACCTTTCAGTAGTCTTGAATTGGACAATATTTATTGATCCTTTATTAAATCCTCGAGCTAGTTTGGTATATTAAGTTAATAACCTAGACAAACTATATTAAGATACATCCTGATCCAAAATTACATCGTCTTATGTTCATAATGTTTGTCTGTACACTTTGCGCATTAAACCCTATCCTAATGCTAGGCCGGTGCAAGACTTCTAGGATTATGACAAGTCTCGCATGTCACAATATAACTATTGATTGACCCAATAGTAGTTATATTATTATGGAATTGAAAACTATATTAAAATCTTCAATGTCTTTGAATCATACATGAACCAAGTATACCTTCTAGTGGTCTATGACTATTAATATAATGGTCTCAAACTTCAACCTTAGAATTTAGAAATGGTAAAAATAGACGTCCGTGAGCATGTTGGACCTTTAATTTTGAACATTTCTTGAAGATGGGTCAAATAGAATAATAATAAGAGTAAATATCCAAAATGGTCCCTCGACTATAGCTAAATTCACAAATTGGTCTTCGACTTTCAATTTCAACCAATTAAGTCCTTAACTTTGCAATTTTAACACAATTTAGTCCTTTGTCTATTTGACCGTTTGTTGACTGCACTTTTTTAGGATATATATGTAATTTCATGGTCCATCGTCGAATTTTTAAGGTTCCGGTTGTATTTCTAGACCGCACTGTTACATTTGAATCCACTGCCGGCGTTGTACCCCATGCCGGAGAGATTATAGCTTTTGATAGATAGATCGCCGAAGTCCCTGGAGTGGCTCTTCGAGAAATTCGTGACTCCAAGCGATGTAGGCAAGCTGAACCAGCTCGGGATCCCCAAGCAGCAAGCGGAGAAGCACTTTCCCCCTCCGAAACGGCGTTGTTACCTCCAAGAGCGTTCTCTAAGCTGAACCGGCTCGTGATCCCCAAGCAGTAAGCGGAGAAACACTTTCCCCTCCGACGCAACGATGTCACCTTCAAGAGCGTTCTCTTGAGCTTTGCACGTGAAATTACATATATATCCTCAAAGATCGCGGTCAACAAACGGTCAAATAGATGGAGGACCAAATCGTGTCAAAATTGCAAAGTTAAGGACTTAATTGGTTGAAATTGAAAGTCGAGGACCAATTTGTGAATTTAGCTATAGTCGAGGGATCGTTTTGGGTATTTACTCTAATAATAATAAAGAATGGCAGCTGATGGAATTTGGTGCTGTTGTGACAAAAGAATGGCAAGTTGGGAACCATAATACAATGTGAGATAAGACAAGAGAAGGCAAGTGAAGGCCAGGGAAGGAAACCATCAATGGCCTTTAAGCCTTACTGGAAGCTAGGTCATTGACTTTAATTTGATGTTTGATAATTGATACTGATGGTGATGGCCTGGCCTGTAAGGTCAGTTTATTTGACTCTTGCATGCTGACTACTGGTTCACTATACCAATTGCAGGTTGGGGCGCCTCCGCGCCTCATCCATTACCCACTTCTTTTAATGCTTCTTTAATGTTGCAACATTTTCTATAATATATATATGCATTTAAGGCATCCCCCACCAAAGAGATAAGAAGGGGGAGAAAATGAGTAAATATCAATTTTAGTCTCACGTGTATTATTAAAATAACAGTTTTGGTTCACATATTTAATTTCTATTAATTTTTTTTTTTATTTACAATTACTATTTTAGTATCAATTTTTATCACACCGGTCACCCTAGCTACCGTTTATGACATGTCGAAATTTGAAATTTTAAGGGTATCTTTGTCATATTCAACTTAAGATCCCAATTTGAGCATGAATAAAGAGATGTAAGTCCTAAGATTGATCACAATTCGCAGTTCTCCTCCTCAAACTAAGGTAGGATGAAGAGGAGAACTGCGAATGGGATTGATCGATCTTAGGTCTTATATCCCTTTATTCATGCTCAAATTGGGTTCTTAATGTTAAGAAAGATTTAGAAGAATTTGTTGTATTACTTCCTTGTCTCAATGGGGAGACAACAGACAAATATATACAGACTTAAAGACACAATCCTACAGACACAACTCAACAAACATATTTCTACAGACACAAATTTTGTGTTTCAACACTTCCCCTCAAGTTGGAGCATATATGTATATCATATGCATCGAGCTTGTTACAAATGTATTCAATTCTATGACTTCTTAAAGCTTTAGTAAATATATCAGTTAATTGATTATTTGAGCCTGCAAAAGATGTAGTAATATTTTCAGATACAACTTTTTCTCAAACAAAATGACAATCAATTTTAATGTGTTTCGTTCTTTTATGAAAAACTAGATTTGACGCAATATGCAAAGCTGCTTGGTTATCACAAATGAGCTTTATGGACTCCTTTGTACAAATCTTCAGTTTAGTAAGGAGGTTTTTCAACCACATAAGTTCACATGTTCCAACGATCATGGATCGATATTCGGCTTCTGCACTTGATCGAGCAACAACATTTTGCTTTTTACTTTCCGAGAAATTAAGTTGCCACCGAGGAAGATACAATATACAGAAGTTGATTTTCTATCCCATGCACCTGCCCAATCTGCATCTATATACCCAATAATTTCAAGGTTTCCATGGTCTTTGTATAACAAACCAGTGTTTAGGGATTTCTTAATATATCGTAAAATCCAAATGGCAGCTTCCCAATGACTTTCCTGTGGAGATGCCAAGAATTGACTAACAACACTTACCGCAAAAGAGATATCAGGTTGAGTTACAGTTAAATAAAGTAATTTCCCTGGATCTTGGATAAGCTCCCCTGATCTGGTAGGAGTTTGACATTTGGATCCATATGAGTGTTAAGAGGTTTACAATTCATCATAACTGTTTCTTCTAGTATATCCAATGCATACTTTCTTTGTGATATGCAAATTCCTTGCTTGGATTGCGCTACTTCAATTCCCAAAAACTATTTTAATTTCTCGAGATTTTTTGTTTCAAAATGTTGGAATAGATGTTGTTTCAACAATTGTATTCCTTCAACATCATCCCCTGTAATGACAATATCATCAACATATATAACAAGATAAACTCTTACCATGTTGATGTCTATAAAAGATGGAATAATCAACTTTGCTTCGATTTAAACCAAAATTTTGCACTACTATGCTAAACCTTCCAAACTAGGCACGAGGAGATTGTTTTAGGCTATAGAGAGAACGTTTGAGCTTACAAACTAAGTCACTCTCCCCCCAGCAACAAACACAGGAGGTTGCTCCATGTAGACGTCTCGTGGTCATTTTAAATTTGAATTTTTTAAAAAAATTAGGACCATGGGTGGTTATTTTTTAAAACATGGAGGACCATTGGAGGTCATTTAAAACTCGGATGACCACAACTGGTAAATCGCTAATACTCAGAGGACCATTGGAGGTATTAACTCTTAATTAATTGGTCCAAGCCTATTTCATATTTGAATTATAATTATAATTGAATTTGAATATAATTTATTATATTTGGACTTGATTCTGTGCAAAGTTCATTTTCTTGAATAAATAAATGATTAATTAACTAATTAAAAAGTGGAGTTTGTTGATGGATTTTGGTTAGGCTTTCCACTATAAATAGAGCCTTCATTTAACATCATAAAACATAATTTTGAAGACTTGAAGAGTTGAGAGCTCATTGAAGGCATTTTGAAGGTTTTGAAGATCTTGAAGGCAACTTGAAGTCATTGGAGGTATTTTGAAGCTCTGCAAAGTTAACTGTCTCGAAGCTTGACGTTTGTTGTTGAAGATCACGCCACTTGAATCCCGGAAGCTACGCCATTTGAATCCCGGAGGCTACGCTACTTGAATCTTGGAGGCACTTCAGTAGAACACGTTAGTGAAGAATCAGAGGACTACACAGAGATTTTGTACACGCACCTTGAATTACACACACACTGTAACCCGATTTTGTGAATATATACAATTTCGATTCTTTATGTTTACACCTGAAATGGTCATCAATACTTTATCACTTTCGTTGATGATATTTCTAGATTCGGTAAGGTTTACCTCTTGCATAAAAAAAAGTGAAGCTTTAGAAGTTTTCAAAATCTTTAAAGCGGAAGAAGGGAATATAATTAGCAAGCATATTAAAGTTTTTCATTCAGATCGACGGGGTGAATACCAATCTAATTTGTTTGGTAATTTTTGCAAAGAAAATGAGATTATCCATCCTCATACGCCTCAACAAAATGTAGTTTCAAAGAGGCGTAATAGGACCTTACTTGATATGATTAGGTTGCAAATTTACCTATTTCCTTTTAGGGTAAAGCACTTCTAACTGCTGTTCACATTTTGAGTAGGGTACCTTCAAAAGACATTGGAAAAACTCCTTATGAACTTTGGTTTGGGAAGTCTCCAAAGTTGAATTATATGAGAGTTTGGGGGTTGTGTAGCACATATTCTTATCCTGGATCCTAGTAAGGACAAGTTAAAGGCTAGAACAAAAAGATGTTTATTTATTGGGTATCCTGAACACTCTAAAGACTATAGGTTATTTGACTCGATTGATAAGGTTATTATTAAAAGTAGCATGTAAAATTTCTTAAGGATAAATTTGATTACAATGAGCATCTTGGGGAAAAACCTTAGCTTAACGAAATCAATGACAATCTTGATTCTCTTCCAGTTGATTTGTATGAAAATGATGGGTAGTCAACTTCAATAAGAGAAGGTCATCCAGAACCTTCAAGAAAAGGAAGTAGAGAGAGGAAACCTAGTGCAATACTCACATCTCCAGATTTTTACACTTATGCAGATGAAGTCTATGAGAGGGTAATGTTGAATGAAGATGTTAAAGATCCTATGTCCTATGAAGAATCTATAACTCTGAGACCAATAGTTATTGCGTTGGCCATGTGTGGATCATGATCCGAAATGACTTCGTTTCACTTAATTTATTTTTCACACAACTCACTGTAATATACATTTTTATAAATCATAATGTACATTATTCTACAACATAATGTACATAATTCTAACTCATAAAATACATTATTTTATCCAAAAATTTTATTATTCTAACACATAAAATATATTATTCTAACTCATAATATACCTTATTATAACTCATAAAATTCAACGACGTCGTTTTGGACCGCGATCCACACAGCTATGTGGACCAAGGTCCGCACAATAATTTGCTTATAGGTTATCCAAAGCCCATTGCTAATCGGGTCACAACTGGGTCGTTTATCGCACATTTCACAGCTTAACGAATACAATTGAAGTTAGCGATGCCCGGGAAACGAACATCAACTACTACGAGAAGTTCGTTGGCTCTATTGCGAGCTAGGATTTAGCAACGTCAGAGAAATGCTTGCAGCTTTCGGAGCGTGGACCCAGAGGCTCTGGCGCCACCACAATTTCACCGTAAAATCCATTTATATCGGCAATTCCAGGGGTTATTCCTCTTCTGTTGCTGCCGCCGCCGCCTTACCGCCGAAGAGAATAGGAACTCACAATGGTAGCTTCCACTGCGACGAAGCTCTCGCCTGCTTTATGATTCGCCTCACGAGCAAGTTCTCGAACGCCCAAATTATTCGAACTCGCGACCCTCAGGTATAGTATGATTTTGCCTTGTATGTTTACGTTCAAGCGTTGGGATTGATTACTATGGAAGATTTGAGAAAAATAATGTGAAACGTTTGAAGATTCTGAATGAGCTTGATGCGTTAGTTGATGTTGGGGGAGTGTATGATTCAAGCAGAGACCGGTACGATCATCATCAGAAAGGTTTTAATGAAGTTTTCGGCCATGGCTTTACAACTAAACTGAGCAGCGCAGGCCTTGTATATAAGGTGACTTACTATTTTCAGATAATTTTCAACTTTTCTCAAATAATTTTGCTTGTGTTAAAAAGACTCAATATATGTTTGCAGCTAAATAAGTGATTGTTAAGTTGAATCATAACTTTTTAAATTTGTTCTTTTAATGTTTCTAGCACTATGGAACAGAGATAGTAGCAAAGGAAGTTCAGCTTCATGAAGAACATCCAGATGTTCATAGATTATTTTTGGCTGTCTATAAGAACTTTATAGAGGTATACCTCAGCTGTATACTATCTAACTGCCTTCTTTGACTCTGAATGGGGTTCTTGTATTTATAGCAAAACCTTTGGTGCACAATTTTACATTTATTTTTTTGCTGAGTTGCACCTGAATCCATAATTCTTGGGCCTGACTTGTGTAATTGTTCATTACATATTTGTGTGCCTATGTTCATTTATTACAATGGGTGTTTTAATAGGCAGTTGATGCTGTAGATAATGGAATCAACCAATATGATATAGATCAGCCTCCAAGATATGTAAATAATACTAGCCTGTCATCAAGAGTGGGAAAACTGAATCTGGACTGGATTGATCCTGATCAGTCACCTAAGAAAGAGGATAAAGCCTTTCAAAGTGCAATGACTTTAGCTGGGAGAGAATTTCTGGAGGTATTATTCTCACAAACCTATTTCTTAGTTTACTGGCTTGTAGAAGTTTTATTGCTATGATACTTTCGGAGTTCAAAGCAGATGACCTTAAGTAAGATTTATGTTATTTTTTATACGTGGCCTTAAGTAAGATGTGATTATGAATTAAAGCTTCAAAATTTCTCTTCTAGTGTATTCATTTCTATGCGAAATCGTGGTTGCCAGCAAGATCAGTTGTCAAGGACTGCCTTGTAGCAAGGGAATATATTGATTCTTCAGGGGAAATCATGGTGCTGACTAGGCCTTGCCCTGTGAGTAGGAAATCATGAAAGCTCTCCCTCTGATATATATATATATATATATATATATTTTCATTCATTATACATCTAATCTAATCATCTATATTTAAAATTTATTTTTAATGAAATAATTCATCCCTAAAAACTCTTGACTGTACTTTATTTATATTATGGCAGTGGAAACTTCATATATTTGAGCTTGAGGTGGAAATGAAGATTAATCCTTCAATCAAATGTGTGATTTACCAGGTACATATTAGTTCAACTTTGCCTCTTTTTTTTAAAAAAAAAAAAAAAAAACTTTTTCATGGTGGCATGATAGGTTATCCTTATGCTAAAAACCAACTGATATTGGGCTGCAAAGTTTGAGATAGGAACAAGAATTCAGATAATAACAAGAATTATTCTCAAAACAACTAGAGAAGGAAGGTTATGCAATAATATTAAAGAGAAAATGCTTCCTAGCTCTAACAGTAACCAAAGAGAATTCAAGCGTTCATCAGCAGTTTAATAATAATCAAAACCTAGCCATTCATAGCATATCAATGATAAGGGAAAAGAAAATGCCATTTATTATTTGAGTAGAATGATTACACCAAATGAGCTTTGTTATAGTATCTATATATATATTAGGCAGTCTAAAGATTTAGGGTTTGGAGTAGGTAGTCTTTTGGAAACTTGTTTCCTTGTTTGTTGAGATCCCAAACTCCCTATTTTCTGTAAAATTTATGCTTGTTTCTTATTGATTGAAGATGTTCTTTATAGAGGCTAATATAAAGACTCCTAACTTGACTGGGACTAAGCTAGCTATCTATGAGTTCTAGTCTAACTAAACTATTCTATTATGTCAAAAATAGGATTATGTCAATTGCTCTTTCTTTCCAAAATCTAGCTTTCCTTGTGTTGGTCTACCTCTACGGCAGTACCCCTTCCCCAAGAATGCATCATTACTCCCCTTTGGGACATCAAGCTTGGCATTTTTCTTGGAATGCTTTTAGTGTTTGTGTCTTCCTTTGTCAGTCCATCCCACTGAACTTGTATCTCTACAATGCCCCATTTATTCTGGTTTTAAGTACCGTAGCTAGTTGAATGAGTACTTGATCGTCCACCGTTTGCTATAAATTGGCGCACCATTGTTAATCCCGGCCAATCAAAGCCTCGTCATAACCGGTGAACTGCCCCATCCAGTTTACTTGGCTTGTATTCTACAGTAAAATCATAGCCCAATAACTTGCTCATCCAGTGCTGTTGGGGGGAAGTTGCCAGACACTGTTGTAGAAGATACATTAAGCTGTAGTAGTGATTTGTTCAGATGATGAACGGATGTCCCCATAAGTAGTGCTTCCAATGTTGCATTGCTTGAGTCAGGACAATTAACTCTCTTTCATAAGCTGGCAGTTTAAAGTGGTGATCTGCTAATTTTTTGCTGAGGAACGCACTTGGGTGCATTTCTTGTAAAAAACCCCCTATTCCACTCTCTGAGGCATCACATTCCATAATGAAATGTTGGGAAAAATCAGGTAATTGTGAAACATGTGTAGATGATAGGGTTGATTTGAGCTCTTCAAAAGGCTTTGAAGCTTTCAGAGACCATGAGAAGGAATTTTTTTGTAGCAAATTTGTTAAAGGTGCTAGTGTGCTACTTTAATTCCATAGCCTCGAATAAAACTCTAGTAAAATCCTGCCAATCCTAAGAATCCTTGAAGGCTAGTTGTGCATGTTAGTATTGGCCATTCTTGTACGACTCGAATTTTGTCATTATTTGCTAAAACTCCCTTTCCCAATTACATATCATGCCAACTATCAATGCAACCAAGCACCAAAGCGGTGGGCCAATCAAAAGCAGTGCTCTTCAAGGAGTAGACAAACTGCTTAACTAAAAAGATTACCATAAGTTCGTGCGTCCTGCAGGTTTCCACAAAATGAGTGAAGTGCTATCTAGGATTACCCTTTTTTTTATCAATTTACTGAACTTAGGAGGTTGGTAGCTAAATGGCATCTTCAACTCTTCAGTTCTTTTAGTGTAGGGCTTGGTATAGGTGTAGGAGGGTTGTTCTTCATCATATTTTCCTTTGATGGCTCCTATGATATAGTCCAAGCCTTCATTTGATCCACTAGTATTATGATTTCAGTGACCGGTATGCTCTTCTCAATTAGTAGTGGGTGGGAGGCAGCTTCTTCCAATACCACTTAGGCTTGACAGGAGCAGGTGATTGCAAAGTAAACCTTTGGGTTACTTTCCTGGAGCATGACTTCCTTGTCCCTCCATTATGCTCCTCACTCTATCACAGACTTTTTAAAGTTAAAAAGCGCATTAAAGCGACGAGGCCGGGCTTTGCTTTAAAGCGAAAGCGCAAAGCGAACCGTTACTTTTTTCATGAAAAGCGATTGCTTTATATATATATATATATATATATATATATATATATATATATATATATATATATATATATATATATAGGCTTAGGTTCAGGTGCGGTGGAGGCCGCAGGTGAAACGTGCGGTTAAATCTCAGCCATTAATCAATTCATCTTAAAAAAAAAATTCGCCACATGCGATCTACAACAATGTGCACTGGAAGGCAAAAATGTGCACGGTAAAGCACATAAATATGCAAAAACTATTGAAAAGACTAAATTTAATACATGATCTTCAACCCAGATCATAAAAGATCATAATATTCAACTAAAATTAGTAATTAGTGATTCATTCAAGATCAAATGCTCTTTAAGATTGAAGGCAAAATGAAAATATGAAATAATTATTGAAACGACTAAGGGTGTGTTTGGTTGGTGGGTTTTGCCCATAGGAATGGGTATGAAAGTGATTGTTGTTGTTTGGTTGATAAGTTTTTAGAACACTACTATGGGTTTCGAATACCTTATCAATTGAAAAATTCATTCCCAAATACAATAAGGGTTTCATTCCCTTATTCATTCTCAAGCACTACTATTAGTAACCATTTCCATTCCACCCTACTACCAAACATGTTAAATACTTTCACCAAAACCCATTACTATTACCAAGTATTTGATACCCATTCCGATTCCGATTCCTATGTGCGAACCAAATACACCCTAAATTTATTGCATGATCTTCAACACAACCATAAACGATCACAATATTCAACTAAAATAGTAATTAGTGATTCATTCAAAATCAAATGTTCTTTATATATATATATATATATATATATATATATATAACACCTACGATCTTAAGGGTTGAAGGCAGAACAATGTGCCCTGTAAGACACGGCAATGTGCTCTAGAAGAATGGACAATGTGCACGATAAGGTAGAAAATATGAAATAATTATGAAAAGACTAAATTTAATGCATGATCTTCAACACAAATCATAAACGATCACAATATTCAACTAAAAATAGTAATTAGTGATTCATTCAAGATCAAATGTTCTTTAAATATAAATAAATAAATAAATAAAGTAGTAATTAGTGATTCATTCAATATCCAACGATAAGTACTCATTCAATCCTCCATATTAAAGTCATCTTCTTTATCACACAAATCCATATTGTCAAAATGGATAACTCAATCATCCTCCAATGCTTCTTCATCTTCATTCACTAGTCTATGCTTGGGAACCTTTTCGTTTGACCTTTCCCTTAGAGTTAGACCTTGAACTCCCAACCTTCTCTTTTCCTTTTGAAGCATGCCTAAGCAAACTTATCAAAAGTGACGCGAGGCGGCGCAGTTTAGTGTTGCCTGAGTAGGCGATGCTACATGAAGTAGCGCGCGCTTACTTGCACTTTTCGGCTAAAAGTGACGAGGCGAGAAGCGCAAAAAAGCGAGTTTTTGTTTGAGAAGCTAGTTAACGTCAGATTTTAATTAAAAAAAAAACAAACAAAACCCTTTAGTCTTCGCGAAACCCTTATCTCTCCACTCTCAGTCTCTCATGGTCTGTCTGCGACTCTACGCCTCTCACTCTCATCGTTGACCATCGCCTGCCTCTTTCTCTGAGTTGTCGATGCCGATGGCCCATCATCGCCAACCATCCACCTTGTCGGCTGATGATGCCTTTACCCTTTGCGCAAGGTAAATCGTCGGGCTGCCTTTTCGTTTTTTTTTTTCCTCTTAAGTGTTTAAGTTTGTCTATATATATATATATATATATATATATATATATATATATATATGTTGGAGTTTGTGGATTTGTGGACATAGTGTTGGCATTTGGCACTGAGTTTTTTTTTTTTCCTCTTCTTAAATTAAGTTGACTTGTAAAATTACTATAACTAAAATCTTAAATTTAATTACATATTTACATTTTATTCAATCTTAAATAATTAAACTTGTTAAATTATTATAGGTTGGCGGTAGGCAGTTGGCCGTAAGTTTTTTTTTTTCTTCTTCTTTAATTAAATTGATCACATGAATGCTTAATTGTTGAATACATTGTAATTGTTTAGGTGAAAATTATCATTTACCATAAGAGAAAATTACCGATTTGGTCCCTTGACTATGAGGATTTCACCAATTTGGTCCTCGACTACTAAAATTATTCAATTTGGTCCTCGACTATGACATTTTTACCTGATTTGGTCCTACGTGTTATTTGCAGGTCAAACCTAAAGGGAAATTTTGGAATTTTAAAAAGGTATCTTCCTTCTTCTTCCCTAAATCTAAGTCGTTTGTTTTATATAGATAGGTTATTTGTTTTCGATAGCAGTCGCAACTTCAATATGCAACCAAAGTGCCGTGAATCATCTTCATCTACCTATAATAATCGAATGATGTTCAAAAATTTGCTGCCTTGTACCAACATCATTTTCATCCAGCTATAAGCATCTTCATTTTCGAACATCATTCGATTCTTATAGTTGGATGAAGATGATTCACTGCACTTTGGTTGCATATTGAAGTTGCGACTGCTATCGAAAACAAATAACCTATCTATATAAAACAAACGACTTATATTTAGGGAAGAAGAAGGAAGATACTTAGCTTTTTTTAAATCCCAAAATTACCTTTTAGGTTTGACCTGCAAATAACATTTAGGACCAAATCAGGTAAAAATGTCATAGTCGGGGACCAAATTGAGTAATTTTGATAGTCGAGGACCAAATTGGTGAAATCCTCATAGTCGAGGGACCAAATCGGTAATTTTCTCTTTACCATAATGTCAAATTCAAAAAATCAAGATCCTGGATAGGACCATGGTTAATCGATTTTGGATAAGGGCAATACGCATGTGCGTTGCAAATATTGTGAATAAATAACAAAGGGTGGAATTTATCAGCATAAATTGCATCTTATTGGATGGAATAGAAATGTTACGGGGTATACAAAATGTCCCCAAGTTGTCAGAGATGCATTGAGAGAATCTTTGCTAAATAAGAAGCAAAAAAAAAAAAAGGAAGTGAGTTGAACAACGACAATGGGTGTTCCTTCTCACTTTGATGAAGAAGGTGATGAAGGTATGGATGGATGTAGTTTGAGTTCTTCTAACAAATCAATTAAAGGTCTCATGAATTTGTATTTTAATACAAAAGAGCACCAAAGTTTTAAAAGGTCTAAAGACGGTGAGGGTGTCACATTGGAGGCATGCAAGGAGTTGCGGAATAGAGCTATGGTGCAATTTTCACGGTGGATGTATGAGGCCGGACTACCATTTAATTGTGTTCAATACAATAAAAGCTTATAAGGGTTTATTGAGTGTGTTGCACTTGCACAACATGGGCTGGGAATGAAGACACCTTTCTATCATGAAGTTAGAGTGCCATATCTAAAAAAGGAGGTTGAGCACGTTAAGGAGTTGTTCAAACCACACGAGTAGATATGCAATACATATGGTTGTTCTTTGATGATGGACAATTGACAGATAGGAGAGGTCGACAGGTCGTGCATTTATTAATATTCTAGTAAATTGTTCACTTAGACCGCATTTCCTTGAGTCGGTAGATGTTAGCAAGGATATGGTGGATGCTAACAAAATGGTAGAACTCTTTGAAACTTTTGTCAATCAAGTGGGAAGGATAAAGTTGTGCAAGTCATATCTATGCTTCAGAGAACGTGAGAGCTGGTATGTTTAAAATATTTGTTTTTTTTTTTTGTTTTTTTTTATCCTTTGTATTAAAAATTTAAGATTTTTAAATTTTTAAAATTTTAAATTTTTTAATTATTAAATCTTTACATCATTTAGGCAAGGATTTAATGGACTTGTACCCGACTTTGTATTGGACGTCATGCGCTGCCCATTGCATTAATTTGTTGTTTAAAGACATCTTTGTGATTCGTTATTTTGCATTGGTGTACAAACGTGCTTTGAAATTGTCGGTGTACATCCATTCGAAGACAAAACTTTTGAATTTGTTGAGGAAGTATACTGGGAAGCGTGATTTGGTCAAGTTTGCTAAGTTAAATTGTCTAAGATGTAAGAACCTGGAGGTTTAGACCACGTTGCTTCTTGGACATTGGCAAGGCAAATAAACCATGCCCAGCTTCTCACGTAGACATTTCCTCGGTAATTTTGTCATAAACATCTTGGTCTCGAACCAACCTCTCCAAACACTAATAAAAGTCCGCAATAACTTATGGCGATTTAACTGTAGGAGAAACCGGAGTCTCACTGCTATACCAGAAGTAATCTGGATTCAAGTAGTACGCGGTTGCATGCAATGGTTGACGAAATTGGGAACTCCACCTTTTGTCTAGAATTTCATACATCTTCTTGTACTTGCTTAGATTGTTGTTGAAAGCCTTTGCAATTGCTTCCTTGGTGATCTCCATCGTAGGATAAATACAACCCATTGATGGCTTAACATCTTTATCAACTAACCGAAGTGTGCTAATCAATGGACTGCCTATTTTAAGTGTCTCTAGAATTGTATTCCAAAAGTTTGACATTTGAACAATTCTAGAACACTCTTTTCTTGCTTCTTCCTTGAAGTAAGACCTAGTGAAGAATTCTTCTGAATTGAACAATTTTTTAAATTGTTTTTCTGCTCGTGAAGCCTCTTGAATGTCAAGAATGCTGTAGCAAACTGAGTCTTAACAAACTTAACCAAATCACGCTTCCCGGTATATTTCCTCAACCAATTCAAAAGTTTTGTCTTCGAATGAATGTACACCGACAATTTCGCTTGTACGCTAATGCAAAATGACGAATCGCAAAGATGTCTTTAAACATCAATTTGATGCAATGGGCAACGCATGGTCTCCAATACAAAGTCGGGTACAAGTCCATTAAATCCTTGTCTAAATTATGTAAAGAATTAATAGTTAAAAAATTTAAAATTTAAAAATCTTAAATTCTTAATACAAACGATAAAAAAACAAATATTTTAAACATACTAGCTCTCACGTTCTCTGAAGCATTGTCAGATATGACTTGCACAACTTTATCCTTCCTCACTTGATTGACAAAAGTTTCAAAGAGCTCTAGCATTTTGTTAGCATCCACCGTGTCTTTGCTAACATCTACCGACTCGAGGAAATGCGATCCAAGTGAACAATTAACTAGGATATTAATAAATGCAGACCTCTCCTATCTATCGACTTGTCCATCGTCAAAGACCGATGTGGTTTAAACAACTCCTTAACGTGCTCAACCTCCTTTTTAAGATATGACACTCTAACTTCGTGATAGGAAGGTGCCTTCATTCCCAGCCCATGTTGTGCAACACATTCAATAAAGCCTTGTAAGCTTTTATTGTATTGAACACAATTAAATGGTAGTCCGGTCTCATACGTCCACCGTGAAAATTGCACCATAGCTCTCTCCCTCAACTCCTTGCATGCCTCAAATGTTACACTCAAATTTTACACTCTCACTGCTTTTTGACATTTTCAAAATTTGTGTTCCTTTGTATTAAAATACAAATTCATGGGAACTTAATTGATTTGTTAGAAGATCCCAAACTACATCCCATCCTCCGATCCCGCCACCTTCGGGAAATCCATACCTTCATCACCTCCTTCATCAAAGTCAGAAGGAACGCTCATTGTTGCTGTTGAACTCACTTCTTTCTTTTTTTGCTTCTTATTTAGCATAAATTCTCTCATTGCATCTCTAACAACTTGGGGACACTTTGTGCACCCCGTAACATTTCTATTCCCTCCAATAAGATGCAATTTATGTCGATAAAATTCCACCCTTCGTTATTTTTTTACAATATTTGCAACGCACATGTGTAGTGCCCTTATCCAAAACCGGTGTACCATGGTCCCATTTAGGATCTTGATTTTTTGGATTTGACATTATGGTAAATGTTAATTTTCACCTAAACAATTACAAAGTATTCAACAATTAAGCATTCAAGTGATCAATTTAATTAAAGAAGAGGAAAAAAAACTACTGCTAGCCAATTGCCTACTGCCAACATATAATAATTTTACAAGTTTAATTATTTAAGATTGAATAAAATGTAAATATGTAATTGAATTTAAGATTTTAGTTATGATAATTTTACAAGTCAACTTAATTTATGTAAAGGAAAAAAAAAAGAAAAAAGCTCACTGCCAAATGCCAACACTATGTCCACAAACTCCAACATATGTATAGTATAACTATAGATAGACTTTAAACACTTAAGAAGAGGGAAAAAAAAAAACGAGAAGGCAGAGTCGGGACGAACCCGACGATTTACCTTACGCAGAGGGCAGAGGTAGCGTCAGTCGACGAGGAGGATGGTCGGCGATGATGGGCCGTCAGCGTCTCGCTCTCTGATGGTTGGCGTCGACAGCTTAGAGAAGGAGGAACCGAGGAAGGCGATGGTCGGCGATGAGAGTGAGAGGCGCAGAGTCGTAGACAGACCGTGAGAGACAGATAGTGGAGAGGTAAGGGTTTTTTTGTTTGTTTGTTTTTTTTTTTTTTTTTTTTTAAATTAAAATATGACTGTTGACTCGCTTCTCAGACAAAAGCTTGCTTTTTTGCACTTCTCGCCTCGTCACTTTTGGCCGGAAAGCGCAAGTAAGCGTGCACTACATCATTTAGTAGCCCTTACTCAGGCGACGCGAAATTGCATCGCCTCGCGTCGCTTTTGATAAGTTTGAGCATAACATTGTAAACATGTGAGCATTCTGGTGTAGCCTTGAATAAAGGAGATGGTGGGGATACAAGGGATGAACTCTTATTGCTAACATTTCCCTTTAGGGAAGTCAAACTACCGTCGTTAGGAGTTTCCTTGGAAGAGGCCAAACCCCTAGCATGAGTAGCCATCCTCAAGATAGTAGGGACTCTTTCGAGTCTTTGGACCATTCTTCGAACTATTGATTAGAGCAAGGAGGTAAGTGGGTCTTTCATTTAATGACTAGCGTTAGAGTTAGTTGTAGGTGCAAACTTGGAACTGACAACTTGAGCCTAGGTCATCCTGAACATGAGGTTGTTTGATAGCATTGAGAGCAATGGTAAAAGTATTGGTAGACGTAGACGTAGATTAATAGTAGAGAAATGAGAAGCAAAATGGTCCCACTAGGCATGCCAAAATTGTGAACACAAAACTTGAATTATACCGTAGTATTAAAATTCAAAGTATCGGTTACAAGTAATATCAAATATGGATGGATGTAATCTTTGAATATGAATAGTTCTCTAATTCACCACTAGAATATACCATAAAGTATTATGTCTATTTGTTGAAGGGCTCAAGTGGCTTGTTTTTCAATAAAAAGGCATGTTTGTAGCTTAATCTTCATTGAAGGGTTTCCAGATCTTAAATGGCCTACTCCTCAACAAGGGAATACTGGAAGTGCTCAAGATAATATTTTGGTAGAATTCCGACAGAGGTTTGATATGGATTTTCTGAGAGATCCCAATCTTGAAACGAGGATCCCATTCTAGAAATAAGGATCTCTATTTATAATGGTGAAGATATGCAGACTTTAAGGGGGTGTTTGGTTTAGGGTATGTAAGATAACCAAGGTAGTATGTGCTTTGGAATGTTAGATTCCCATATTTGGTTCAAGTTATATTAATGTGACTTACCCTCCCCATTAGATTTTAGGTTTCTTTTTAGGCAATGTGATTCCCTTCATCCCTTGTTTGCCTTAGGTTTTGTGAGATTTCCTTGCACTTTTTACTCTTTAGACCCTTATAGCAATGTATTAAAATGTTTAATCTTTAATTAATTGTATAAATTTACGAAGTTACATAAATTAGTGTGTGTAATGTGTATATCGCCAAATTCATTGTAAAAAAATGCAATTTACACAAAAAAAGAAGAAGGGTGAAAATAACATACATGAAAGAAAATAATCTTTTAATATGTTTAGAGGTTATGTGATATACCCTTCACTTCCTTAGGAATCTTGATTTAATATTTTTGGAGAGAATGTTAGCTTATTGCATGTGTGTTAGTTAATTAATTTTAAATCATTTACTTATATATATATTTTACCATTTTCTTATTTATATATTTTAATTTTGAAGTTTATTGAAATATATGAAAATATGTTAATGGTATTTAAGTAAAATTACCATTATAATATAAAAGATAACTCTCAATCAAATAGGTTTATACTTTATATTACATACCTCAGTTTTAAACAAACACAGAAGTCTTAACATTCTGACGCTCCCTAGGTAGACGCCCCCTAGGTATTTTCAAACTCTTTGGCACATTATGTTCAAATTAAATAATATATATTTGAATTAATATGAAGATTTATCCCAAATGTCACTATCAAGTCCAAGTTCACAATTCTATCACATTTAAATTCAATAACTTAAATTTTAACATTGTGGTTTAATTCAATTTAAACCCTAAGCTCAAGATATCATCAATGCACCATCCTTAGCCAAAAGCCAAAAAAGATTATGAGGGTGTTTGGTAAATGATTGATCAACCAAAATTATGATTGGTAAATGATTGATAGCTGATTGGTTTAGCTGATAGTTGATTATGTTAGTTGTTTTGACCAGCTAATAGTATTAATGGGTTATAAAAATGTGTTTGGTAAATTAATTTAATTACATGTAAAATGACCCATAAGGACACTCATATTATGTAATAATAAAATAAAAATAAAGACAAAATAGGCAATTAAAATCCACATGATTTTAACTAAGAAATTGGATTGGTTGGCCAATTTCATTTGACCAAACAAACCAAATGTTAGTCCGGCTAGTGATAATTATAATAATTAATTAAACAATCATCTTCATCTTCAAATAAAGTCCAATATATTTATTTGCCCATTTATCATTATTAAATTTCATATTCTACAGCTGCCTCTCTACTCCTTGAAAGAAAGTAATTGTAAAGGACTCCATGCCTAGGGGCTAGTCACTAGTGTTGCTCTAATATGTCTAAAGACAACAATCTCCTTAGGGGAGCATGGTAGTGCTTATTCTAAAAGAAACATGACTCTTGCACATTATAATAAATTAAAATTTATGACTTAGTTTAATAATGCTCCAGTATAACATGGGAGAAAACATGTTAAAAGAAAATCCCATCTGCTTCAACATTCTTTAAAAAGATTGCAAATACTTTATTTAAATTAGTTACAACCTAGTTCATGGGGAACTAGCGAACCGCATCTCGACCCCTCCCTAACAAAGGTTTCCTTTTTCACCCTATCATGATAAAGCCATTATAAATTTGAAATGCGTATGAATGTCAGTCTCTCTATTTGCTATTGCTCATTAGGCCTAATCTTCTTGTCTTAATCTATCTTATAGGATGACAGGAGTGAAAATTGGCGTTTGCAGGCGGTAGCAGTTTCACCTGATAAATTTGAAAGTCGAAAACCACTACCATCTCCTTGGAGGGGGTTGGCTGATGAAGAACTGACTTCGGTTGCTGGCATCCCTGGTTGTATCTTTGTGCATATGAGTGGTTTCATTGGAGCAAATAAAACGTATGAAGGTGCTCTTAACATGGCAAGAGCTTCTCTAGAGTCCTGAACACAAATTGCTGCTAAATGTACCTGAACACTCTTAAGAAGTACTTCACCACCTTTTGATTAGTCAAACTCAAAGCAAAGTTGGTTCAACCTTCACTGGTGTTGTGTGCTTCTGATCCATGGAAGATATGATATGTCTCACTTATAGGGTATTCTTATAATTATTAATTGTTGGGTTGAGCACTCAATTCAAATTTTGTTTCGCAGCTGATAATTGTCAACCCATTCGCTTACAGTAGACTGGTGCTTGTAGGCCTATTGGCATTTCGGATCTATCCTGGTGAATACTCTAGTTGCAATTGATGATAGGGACAAAATATTACACTTTCCTCAATTTTATTTTTTACACAAAGAGTTCTATAAGCTATGGTATTTAGTTGAATTTAAAATTTTGGCAGTCTTATTTTTCTTTGAACTACTTGCATTGATTTTCTTGAGTATTTAAGTTTGCTATAAGACATTTTTTCTTTTACTTTTAAAAACTTTTAAACTGTCAATAGAATATTGGAGCTGTATGCTTTATTTGGGATCATTTGTAAATTTGATAAAATTATAATTCATTTGGCATGTCTAAACCTTTAGTTCACAAATATAAACATATATATTTTCCTTGTAAAAAACCTTTACCTTTTCCTCATTGTTGCAGTCATTATATAGCTCTTGATTTGCAGATTATTTTTGGGTTTTTATTAGTGCACACATACAGGTAGCAAGATGGAATATTCGGGGAAAAAGCCAAAGTGTTTCTTGTTGATCTATGTCTAATGAAAAATCATCTCTATACAAGGAACACATTTGTGCTAGCATGATCTTACATAGGTTAACAGACCGACCGAGCTTTCATTCTTCAGAAACTGTAGGTAATCCTTCCTTATACCAGGTATAGAGCCCTCCTTCCAAGTGGTAAACATTGGTATAACCATTGAGAACTAGCACATAGGCTGCAATGAGTGACCTTCACCAGATAGTAGGAGCAATTAGCAGTGAGGAAGAGGAAAAAATTGAATCGAACCTAAGAAGTAGGGAGAATAGGGAAGGGAACCTTGACTGCTGGCCTTCTGGAAGATTTTGTGTTGGCTTCATTGTACCTCCAGATGAGCAAGCTACTATGATTTTGGCGGTCTTATCTATTTTAGATTCCACAGCTGCTTGCAATGTGAAATGGATAGTTAGAAACATAAGGGTGCTAAGGTAAAAGTAGAATGGAGAGAGTGAATGTGTAGGGGAGTATTTACTTTGAATAAACTCTGGATTTTCTTCTGTTCCTTGGAATATGCCAAAGAAGGCAAATGCTGCTCGTCTAGCAATGTCCCAAGCTGTCCACTCCTTGATTAGCCTATATATTTGCACATTCACAGCTCCTGGTGGGTGAGCCTGTATATAACAGCCAGCCAGAATTAGAGCAGTTGAACCAATTCAGATGAGTAGAAGGTATTTCTGAGTTATATTGTGTGATGATTTGACTTACCTCCTTGAACTCTGCTTCTGGGCGTACGTCAAGAATCACAAAATTGTTTTCTTTCTGAAGTCTGAATGCTTCCTTTGCATCTACACTCCTTACCCTTTTCTCAAGAAGCTTTGCTCTCTTAGTTGACCAGTCTTCTTCAGCTATATATATATAATAATCAAGAACTCAAATTTATGCTGAAGTTATTTCATGTAATTGTTTGATCATTGATGGAGTGTCTTGGTAAGTGATTACCTGGTGTTTTGGCAGGTTTGGTTGCTGCGCATCTAATGTTGACAGTAGCAGGCCTGGAGCTGAAAGACAGGCTCCTGCTCCTGCTCTTGCTCTTTGAGGATGTCGCGGTTCTGGTAACCTTTGATTCCTTTACCACAATTGAAGTGTAGCTATGTGATATACTACGCTGAAAATTATGGTGCAGAGCTGAAGAAGATGATGAGCCGGGCGTAAGGGCAGCCATATGGAAGCAATTTCAGAAAAAAAGGATAACAGAGGTATGGGTTTTTGATCTTTTTTAGTAGTAGTGTAATCTTAAATGTGTTATGAAGGCCTATGTGTAGCTACTTAATTTGGGTTTGCCTTGTTTTGGCTGGGAGGAGATATGAGATATTCAGTGGGGTGGGGTAGGAAATGTGATATTTTAGTTCCCTCGCAATCTGAGTGTGTGGTGGTGGTGTGAAATTCCCCTTACTATTGGGATTTCTCCCTCACTCATCTATCTTTAACCTCACCCATCATATTTTGACATATTACACTTTGTGTCTGCTCCTTTTTGAGAAGATTAATTAAACCCATATTCTTTCACCTTAGCTTGCACAAATTACTGGTGAAGTCTTGTCCCATCTACAAGAGATCAATGGGGTGTTTGGTAAATGACTGTTAGTTGATTGGGTTAGTGGGTTTGACTAATTGATAGTATCAGTTGATTGTAGAAAAGTGTTTGGTAAATTAGCTGTTAGCTTATTACATACAAAATGACTTCCTGAACAGCTTTTTGAATTCACTCAACAGCTAATAGTGGTCAAATAAGCCAAAATTGGTTGATAGGCCTAACTATTTTACCAAACAGGGCCAATATGTTTTAGCTGCTAGAGACAGGGTTTGGGCGCTTGGCCGACCTTTCACCCGCCTCCGCCCAACAATCTCTTTAGTCACCAATTGCTAGACTTGACCTTTTATCAGCCTCCGCCTAACACAATAAACACAATCAGTTAGTTAACTATCAATCAGACTTATAACTTTACTTTTTGAGAATGTTGTTGCATACACATGAATCTCGATTAGATTTGATACTTTTTCTTAAAATGGAAAAACATATATTAAATTTAAAAGCAAATGATTGTCAAATTACAATAATAGAATGAGCATGGAGGCAGATTGATATTGCTATTGGTATAGCTGCAGCTTCATACACAAATGCCGTTGAATCGCTCGTCCATAGATAACTTGTAATATCCATCTCCATTGGGGCCTGCAGTCTCATTCGAGTGAGAGAAAAATCGAATACTGTCCGAAAAAAAAAAAAAAAAAAAAAAACCAATCTCCATTGGGGGGAAGTTTTAATCTCTCTATCTTCATCCCTCAACACCATTCTGCAACAAAACCTAATTTAACTACCACACCCCGTCCACCAAGAAAAACTTAAATTTTCATATTAGCTGTTGCACCGAAAAAAGGTGCCTACAATTCAGCGAGGGGATTATATTAGTCACTGTGTCCGATTTTGGGTACACTCCCCAAAAAAACTTAACTTCATAAAAAAAGAAGGAACTACTTACATATATAAAATCGATCATATCTTCCATTTTGTATCTATGCTTCCATAATGTGTTACCAGTTGGGGGAGCTAATCTTGTCTTTCCACCCCACCTCTTCTTCATCAGATCGCGCCATAAACTATCATCTGATCCTAACACTCTCCATTCCCTGCAAACTTCACCCAATCAAATCGCATCATTATATTGTTAGTTCTATTCCTTTCCTATTCCATCTGATCTTGTTCTTGATCTTTTCTTAGTACATACATACATTATCCACGAATTTAAAATTCACCTAATTGAGCAACTAAGAGACTGCGGTGATCCAGTAAACCCAAAATTTTCAGGCGCACGTCCTTTGGTAATCTTTCCATCTGGACACAGAATTGTACTAGTGTTGATATGATTGATATTCTTGAAATAACAATAATATATTTAGAGTGGGTTCAATAACAACTTTGGGAAATTATAGCCACAATATATTATATATATGACCTATTCTTTTGCATCTGCCACTTCATCAGCCCGCGGCATTATGCAGGCGTTCAATTCTCCCTTAACAATAGCTACAAACCATCGTAGGTAGGATTGGTGATTGTTTTGATAAGAAGATGGTATGATTGATTGGTATGATAGTCTTAATTAGTGGGATGAGGGGATAATTGAGGCAGATTCTAAGATAATCATCATTTAGTGTCTTCCTTTAATTCGTACAAATCGTACAATCATTATTGCGTGGACCGTTGTGTGGACCACGGTCCAGAAACACATAATGTACATTATTCTAACTCATAAAATACATTTTTCTAACACGTAATGTATATTATTCTAACTAATAAAATACATTATCTTACACCATAAATTTCATTATTCTAACACATAAAGTATATTATTGTAACTTATAAAATACATTATTCTATCACATAAAGTATATTATTCTAACTCATAAAATACATTATCTTACCTAAGAAATTTCATTATTTTAACACATAAAGTACATTATACATTATTCTAACACAAAGTACGTGCATTACACATTATTTTAACACATAAAGTACATTATTCTAATTCATAAAATACATTATCTTACCCCATAAATTTCATTATTCTAACAAATAAAGTACATTATTATAACTCATAAAATACATTATCTTACCTAAAATTTTATTATTCTAACAAGCGCGTTGAGCAAGGAATTTTTTTAACATCAAAACAATGTCGTTTTGTTTATATGGATCACGATCCACACAATAATTTGCCTAATGCGTAACGTTGACATAATATCTTCCAAAACTACTTGGATCGAATTAATTCCATAGACTAGGTTGTTCATAAATCTATAGGCCAGTTTGGACCTATGCCATTGCATTTATTGTTTTAATAGTTGTAATTTTAATTACTTTTATTCAAATAAAAAAGATTTAAAAAATATTACAAGATAAATTTGACAAACAAGGTATGTATGCAAGTTTTATGTTGATACAATTCTTCATACACAGGCTCAAGTCATTCTCTGAAGATCACATGCACAATTCTTCTCTTTCGCATTTCAATAGAGTCCACATTTACTCCAAGCGTGCCACAGTTCTTCTCTCACTTCTCAATAGAGTACACATTTACTCCATATGTGCCGAGGTGTTAACGGTATTGAAACTTAGATACTCAATTGTGTAAGGCTCTTGAGCGAGGGTAACCCCTCGAGCTTTTTTCCCTTAAGCAGAAATTTGGTTAGTGTTGAGATTCTTCACAACAAAACAAAAGGGTGAAACACAAAGGAAACATTATTATCAATGACAAAATCTTTGACAGATAGGAGAGAGTTGATTAGGGCTTGAACATGTAACACATTATGTAATTGTAGGGCACATGAAGAAGATGATATGGAAGTGTGTCGAATACTAAAAATATTCAAACATGTACTATTACTATATTACAAACTCGAAATTTGTCATTTCTTGTGTACTCTTCCACTCGTTGCAATGAGGAGGGATCGGAAGTGACATGATGAGTGGACTAGCATCGCAGAGCCAATTCTGAAAGAATGAGGCATCAACTAGATCATTAGAATGAGCCACATTCGCTTGAGGAATGGGTGCTCCGGAACACATCCTATATCACTGTAAAGTAGTGTGGTCAATATCGTTGTAGATTTGGCACTTCGGAACATAGCCACGACCCATGACCACAGCCTCGGCCAACTCTATTACCACGACCAAGGGGTTGTTCAACCGGTTGCTCTGATCTTGAAGCGACAGGTGGTAGTGGGGGAGTCGGTAGATGGATATCATCATCATAGATGAATTGATGTGCGGCGAGATAGTCATTCAGCAAATCAATTGTCACAAGTTCCTTTGTGGTCAATGATGAGACCATCACACGATACTTAGGGTGGAGGCCTTTAAACAGGTAGAGATTCTGCTCATCTAAACTAATAATGCATATATGGTTGACTGAGTTTGCTAATTAACTGACTAGGACTAACCACACCGGTTCTTCACTAGGCAGAACTACATCACTGCCTAGACTTCCCAATCACCTGGTTAAGCTGACCGAAACGTTCCCCTTCAAAACCGGGAAAGTGAACTGCCCTCTCTATCCGTTTCTCCGAGTACGAAGCCATGAATTGACTGTCTAATCACATTCCGTCTACCTTTTCTCCTTTAGATTAAACACTTGGCAATGCCTCCCTGACCGGCCAACCTATAACCACCACTTGGAGCACATGCCGGATCTTCCGCATGTGTCTCTAGTCTCGCCTATATAAGGCACATTTATTGTTGAAGATGAGAACTTTTCCAAAAACTACCTATCCAGACCTACCCAACTTCACCTCCAAGCTTTGGGTTGCATGATTAGCTACAATGGAACAACCATCCGAAAGCTGAGCCGGACACGAAAAAGAACCATCAACGTAACGTATCCACTGAGATTGCGACTACGGAGAAAGGGAACAAGTTGAATTTTCCAGAATAGATAATTTGAGGAAGTAAATTTGAAAGATATAAAGTGATGTGTCGTTTGTAGGGTATTTAGTGAGATCAGAGTGAAGAGATAATATTTGAAATGGTGCAAGAGGAGGAGGAGATGGTGGTGTCTTTTGGCGTCAGCGGTGGGGCATGGCTGTAGTATTGGTGGTAGCTTTGGATCATTTGATCTACTAATACTCGATGAGAATAGTGATAATTGCAAAGAATTTTATTATTGATCAATCGTATTTACAAAGTACAAGAAAATATGGATTCATAGAAATACATGATGAATTAGTCCTAGCTAGGGCATGACTCGTAAAAGTAAATTTACGATAATACACTGAAACGAAAAGGAATTCTAAAGCTAGCTGATAGATATAGAGTTCCAATAATAACCAGAGTGTGAATTTACATGAGGTGATTTCTTTTTGCTTGCATGGTGGCAGATTCAAGGTCCCCAATGAAGAAAAGGATCTTATCCAATATACCCAAACCTGCCTCTTTTTCTTCCTCCACACTTTTAGCGGTGTTGTTTCTGCTGCTTTCACCCCTCTTCCTGCCCAAATGTCGCTGAATCTCTCCTCCATGGATAAGGTAATAATCATCTCCTTCCCTTATAATCTTCAACCCCCTGATTGCATCCAATCTCAATAATTATGCAAAAAACAAAAGGAATTAGCTTCAAAGAATCATCGAATGAACGACTTACAATCCAACTCGATCGCACCGATCCTGCACTGCATATGCGTCCTTCCATGATCTGGAACCAGTTGGGGCGTAGAATGCCGCATGATCTAAACCCCACCTCTCTTTGAACAGATCGCACCATAAACTCTCTTCTGATCCTAACGCTTTCCATCTCCTGCAAACTTCACCCAATCAAAATCGCACTTTTGTTAGCTCTTTTCTGATTCTGATCTGCACTCGAGTTAGTAGAAGATTATCGACAAATCCCACTTAATTTGTCTGTTCCTGAATTAATAGAGATCCCATCTTAGGAAAAGCTAAAGTCAGCAACAATTCGATTGATTTCCGGAATGTGATTGATCCCAAAAACAAGAAATTTGGACAAATCTGGAACTGGAAATTCATAAAATTAAACAATTAAAAAAAAAAAAAAACCCATTCAAACAATAATTTAAAATTCACCTAATTGAGCAGCTGCGAGATTGTGATGATCCAGTAAACGCAAAATTTTCAGACACAGCTCCGATGGTAGTCTTTCCATCTTATCTAGAAAGGAGAGAGAGAGAGTTCAGTCTGTAATTGAGCAGCTGCTAGATCGTCTCCACCTTTCATTTTTAATGGACAGGATCTTCCTTAATAAGTTAATAACGTAACCAAAGAGCGGCATAGGTAACCGTCACTACTAGTTGTATCATAGATCGGTCAATAGAGCAATATGTACTTAATTAATCTCAATCCAAATTATATTCCTGATTTATATCCATTTTTTCTATTAATTTTTTTTAATATATTATGATAAGCAGAAATCGATTCAAAAAATCATCTGAGTAGGGACGAAGTTTATATGACGTTAGCAATGTCAATGACAAAATATTAAACAACCATAATAAGGTTAAAATACAAAATATATTATAAATTACAATAGAATGTGTTTGATAGATTACATAATAGTTAGGGTCGGAGGAGTCAAAAATATACTTTTTTTTTTTTTTTTTTTTTGGAAACAAAACGATCCAATTTCATTAAAGACTTAACAAATTCGAAATACAAGCCGGCGGGATATCAATCCACACCCTTGTGTCAGCCGTAGAATCGATTGCCTGAGCTAATTCGTGAGCCACACAATTCGCTGATCTTTTGACATGGGAACATTGACGGTCCCGATGTCCTTAGCAATCGACATACATTGCTTTACAAGTAAACCAACATAAGAATAATCAGAAGTACAAGAATTAAATGCATTGCAAAAATTAAGACAGTCAGATTCAAGGATAATGTTCCTGTGACTTTGTGTTTTCAACCATGACAGAGCTTCTCTAGCTGCTAATGTCTCGGCCACATACGGATCCTTCTCTCCAGCAAGCCTGCCACTTCGTGCTGCAAGAAACCGGCCTTCATGATCTCGAACCACAGCACCATAGCAAGCACCATCCCCAGATAGGGCAGCGTCGACATTGCACTTGACCGTGTTCCTTGGCGGAGGAGTCCAAATGGTAGGTTGCCGGGTCTGTGTAGTTCTATTGTTCGGGTGATCATATGTCGCTTTCCATGTTGCCTGCATCCTATCCTTAAGCATACGTGATGTACTTACAGATGGAATCTTATTATGCCAAACAACGTCGTTGTGTGCCAACCATATTGTCCAGAACACAGCTGCTAGTGTCACTGCTTCCTCAATCGTCGAATGTCCAAGCTTATTATTCATAACATTAAAAATGTTTCGTCCATGCAGAATGTCTATGGATCCCCAGATTTCCTGCGCAAAGACACAATCACCGAATAGGTGTTCAATCGTCTCCGAAACATAACCACATATAGGACAACCCCCACCAATCCAGACATGCTTAGCTCGGAGATTATCACGTACAGGCAGAATATTTCGAGCGTAACGCCACAAAAAATCCTTTACCTTGGGAGGTATTAACAACGGCCATAGAGCAGTCCAAGCCTGGAACTCATTCCCAACAACATGTCGGGTCACCGCTTCCCTAATCAATTTATAACCATGCTTAACAGTGTATTTACCCCGAATGTCCCCTACCCAACGCCAGTAGTCATAATATTGTGTATTTACTGGAGTTGCTAGAATTCTTACCACATCGGCAGGAAGGAAAAGATCCTGGATAATTTCTTCATCCCACCGACCCTGAGCATCGAGTAAACCATGCACTCTAGCCTCTCTTAGATTTTCCACACATGGAGTAATTAGAGACACATTTGAAGACCCTGCAAGCCAATTCCAACCCCAAATTTTTGTGTCACGCCCATCACCAACCCGACGTGCCACACCCATTTTTAGAACCTGTTGTCCGGCAAGAATGCTACGCCATATAAAGTTGGGATTCCCTCCTAGTTGAGCATCCATAAAGTCCGTCTTCGGGAAATATTTTGCCTTTAGTACACGAGTCACTAACGAGTCCGGATGCACCAAGATTCGCCACCCTTGCTTGGCTAACAGGGAAATGTTAAAATCATGTAATTTCTTGAATCCTAGGCCACCCTTCATTTTTGGCTCACGCATCCTGCCCCAGCTCAGCCAATGTATTCCTCTTTTCCTTGTTTCCCCACCACCCCACCAGTAACGATTAAACATCTTCTCTAACGTGTCACAAACACGCAAAGGCAATAGAAATACCGACATGGTAAAAATTGGAAGGGACTGAGCAATAATCTTGATCAGAACTTCTTTACCTGCACTCGAAATCAGCTTATTCTGCCATGACCCAATCCTTGCACGAATCTTCTCCTCAATGTATCGGAAGACAACAATTTTATTTCTCCCCAAAGCTGACGGGAGCCCCAAATAGCGGCCTAAATCCATCGCTTCGTGCACCCCGATAAGATTAGACACTAATGCCCGAGTGTGCACTGCCGTGTTGCAACTGTAAACCGCACTGGATTTGTCAAATTAATAAGCTGACCAGACGCCATGCTATAGGTATCAAGACACTCTTTGATTTTTAGTGCCTCTTGTTCGTTTGCCTTGGATATCTCTGCTTTTAGATCCGGCCCTTCTGCCCAGTCACCGTTTTGATTTTTGACACTCAACAGCAAGTTATGTCGACGGCGAGCAGTAGTCGATCGGTGAAAATATTTCGTGTTAGAATCCCCTTGCTTTAACCAGAGCTGCTTGGACCGTTGTTTCCAGAAAATTTCCTCGGCTTTCAAAAGGCCCTCCAGTTCATACTCTGCCGCCAAGAATCATTCTATGGCCTGGGGATCACGGTCATCTTTTAGCTGACTCAGGATCTGTCCAAGAACTTTAATGCGGGCACCAAAACGCCGGTGATACTCCCCACCCCATTTCCAGAGCCTTTCAACGCAGACTGCCAGCCGTTCTTGAAAGTTCATATCCCTGGAAATACGCCAAGCTTCATCCACCACCTTGGCACACCCTTCCTCGAGAAGCCACGCATTCTCGAAACAGAAGGCTCGGATTGCTGCTCGTTCGGGGCCCTTATGAAGATCCACCAGAATGACACAATGATCAGATGAATGAGTATAGATATTTTTTACCATTACCTCGTCATGTAACTCCAACCAATCCACTGTTGCCACGGCCCTGTCCAATCTCTCTTCCACCCACTCCTCTGTCCCTCGGCCTTTTTTCCTAGGTAAACCTGCCTCCAGACATTCCCAGATCAACAAGTTCACAATCGCCTAATGTATCATTGAAGCCTTCAATAAGAGCCGACGGGTGAGAATGGATACCCCTCTTCTCCGAAAGACAAGTAATGTCATTGAAATCGCCCGCGACATCCCAAGGTAAAGCTGATTTGGCCTTGAGCTGCCGAAGGAGATCCCATGTTACATGTCGTTGCGATCTGTCCGATTCTCCATAAAATCCTGTTTAACGCCATGCTGGTTGCCCAGGTAGTGTTACCTCTATGTCTATGTGATTATTGTTGGAATAGCTCAACAAAGAAGCCTGATTCATATCTCTCCAGAAGAACGCAAGCCCCCCCCCCCCCCCCCGAGGCCTACCCGTTCCACAAAAATCTTACTGTCAAAACCCAACTTTATTCGTACCGTCTCCATCTGAACCTCAGTCGCCTTTGTCTCCATTAAGAAGACAAATTCGGGTCACTGGTTGGACACAATGCCCAAGAGTTCGCGAACTGTCCGGGTGCCACCCATACCCCGGCAGTTCCAACTAAGAAGATTCATTGGCTCCGGCGAGCCTGGTCTGCCAGACTCACCAATCCTTGTTGTTTTAGACCTTCCGCCATCATCACATCATCGCCAGTCGCGACCTCTGCTGATCCACGCTCTTCACGGCGTCGTTTCAAGTCACCCTGGAGCCCTTCAGAGTCCTCTATCGCCATAAGCGTAGCCGGTGGAGGGCCAACCGCAGGAGTATTCATCTTCGTCTTAGAATTCAGTAATGGAGACAAAAGCCACTTTGCCCCAACTGGTTTCACCTGCTGTCTCGGACCTGCTCGCATCCAAGCACCAAAAGGGAATGCTTCAGGCAATATCCCCTCTTCATAAACCGTTTTGCAGAATTTGTCCGAATGGCCCATAACCCCACAGCAGTAACAAAATGTGTCCAAACGTTCATACTTAAAAGTGATCCATTGTGATGAGCCATCACGTCTCATCAGTTTCATCCGCCTCCTGAGCGGTGCCAACACGGACATTGGCACCCTAATTCTGTAATAACTCTTCCAAGTGCCCCCGAAATTATATGGATCAGCCGCGATGAAGGTTCCAACGTGATCGCCTATTTTAGCTATGAAATCCTGGGATGCATACATCGCTGGTAGCCCGTGAATTTGAACCCAGAACATGACTGAATTCAACTCCACCTCCTCCGGCTGAATCCCTATCGGCACCTGCTCGCAGATCAACAAATTGTTGTCGAAGGACCAAGGCCCATCATCGATCACTCTTTGCAGATCCTTTGGGTGAGGGAACTGAAATAGAAACAGGTCATCTGCCAATGGTACCGCGTACATACCCATCATAGGGCACCACATCGATGCCAGCGTATGTTGCATGTGATCAAAACGGATTTGGCGATCGATTAGAAATCGGCCAACCAGATTGTTCTGGATCGCGTAAAAAATATACTTGAGTGGGCGAAAATGTAAAAATGTTTATGACAAAACATGAAACATAATCAATTAAATAAAATAATTTGAATAACACTATATTTATAAATACTTTTTAATTTTAATTTCTTTTAGTTAGATCAAGTTTAAGTATTTCTAAATTAATTCGAATACAATGAAGTATAATATAAACTTGTATACTACTTTAATCAAATGATTCATAAAAATAGACAAAAAGAATATTTAATTTATCTTGTGAGAGAATGAAAGAGATAACATAAACGAGAAAAGATTGTGATAATGGACATATGTGAAACTAACTAAGGTACTTAAACTATTAACAACTTAAACATAAATATAGATTTTATATATTTAATGCTCTCTCTCTCTCTCTCTCTCTATATATATATATATATATATATATATATATATATATATATAATATAGGGGTGGGTGGGTGGGTGGGGGAGGGGGTAAATGCCCCACCGCCCCCTCCCCCCCACCCAGAGTGGCTCCGTCTATGATGATAAGAGTTGTATTACACAATTTTTTGGACAAAAAGTATCCTTAGTGTAATAACTTTTAGAGTA